TAAGTAACACAAATGGTATTTATAGCATACCCAGCAAAATACATGAGTTTCCAAAGCATATAAAAGTAAAGCAATTGGTCTGTGGTTTTGAGCACGCAATGCTATTAACTAACATGGGGGATATATACGCTTGGGGCATGGGTCTGTATGTTCAAAAAAAAAAAACTAATTTAAAAAATTAAGCAAATTTTTATTATTAAATTATTGTAGACGTGGACAGCTAGGTCAAGAATTGCTACAAACTGAAGAAACGCCAGTTTTGTTGGAAGCTTTAGCTGGTATAAAGGTAAATAAATAATTTATATACTAATAAATAAAAAAAATATATAATAAATAATTAAATTTCAGATAATTCATATAGCTGCCGGTGGTTGGCATAGTGCAGCTATTTCTGCTTTTGGTGATTTATATACTTGGGGTCACAATACAAATGGTCAGCTGGGTTTGCGTGTTTTTAAACCTAATGGTCAAAAAGAACCTACAGTTTTTCCACTGCCACAAATTATTGATATGCCTGCATGTAATGCTTGCAGTGTAAAATCTAGTGATGATGGAGAAGAAGGGGAGCAGTATACAGAATGCATTGCTGTTAAAGTATATGCGGGTGCACGACACACAATTGTGCAAATGAATTGTGGTACTGTGTATGCAGCAGGTTGGAACGTACACGGTCAGTTGGGTTTAAAGAAGTTAAATCAAATGTGCGATCATTTTGAAAGAGTTCCATTTTTCGCAACTATCCCAAATCAGTTAAATACTCCAAACATAGTTTGTGGACCATGGTGCACTGTTGCAATAAGGTAATTTATATATATACATATAAGTTATATCAGTATTTAATATTAAATTGAATTTTAACGTCCATTTTGGTGAAAGAAACTAAATTCTTGTTATGAACTATTGTTTTCAATAGAGAGGTTTTTTGAAAAGTAGTAAATAACAACAATAAACTATTATTATTTGTTAATTAATTGCAATTTTTGGTTGACATGTAGCTTTTTCGAGTATTGCTAAATACCCATCATCAGTGGTCTTAGAATTGTTTCTTACATTTAATTATTTGCAAAATTTTTTGAGACTGCAAGTATTAAAAATTGAAGTCGTGTCCTACCAAATTTGAAGCTCAGAGTCAGTGTTAATTAGCCAACTTACTCATTTTCAATCTCATATGATGATATTCAAAAAAGTCTTTCATTCACGCATACTTTAAGATCTATTTATAGAGTAATTGGTTATTAAACATTTAGTTGATAAATAGGAAATCCAAAATTTACATTGAGATATATTCTGTAGAGATATCAGTCTTTTGGTAGGTTTACTTACACGTCACTGTGAACTAGGCAACCATACTAGAAGATTAAGTCTCCCTTTCAATCAAACCTGTAACAGCTGTGGAAAAGACGATGAGAGTATCTCTCATCTACTATGTTTTTGTCCAGCTCATGCACGGCGGCGACTTAATATATTAGGAGTCAACTTCCTTGAGGACCTGGACCAATTATAGGACCAGGACTAATTACCGGACCTGACACTAAATATCATCTCATGCTTCTCTAAAGGTTCTAGGTGGTTTTAGACCTTGAACTTTTCCTATATATTAGGCCTAAATGGATCCCCTAGGGATCGCCGGTATAACCTAACCTAACCTGAGTTGATAAATGCTTCGTATTTTCTCCGTGAATACCCGACATTGGCTTCCAGAAGAAATAGGTTTTTTGAAAGATACTTTTTTGATAGTTTATCAGACTGTTTATTGGTAAGGACGACAGACCTATTAAATTATCTAAATTCGACGGGAAAGATGTAGTCTTTTCTCTATGTATAGTCTTCTATATTAGGGTTTCTTATGAGAAATGTGGTAGCAAAAATCGATAATTGAGCTACATGAAAATTATCTAATGATATGCCACTGCAACCAACCAACCAATCATGTATTGCATAGATACTTTTTTTTTAAAAAATCGACAAAAAATTATAATTTATTTCGTAAAAATTGTGTCATATTTAAATTTTCTAAAAGGATGGTTTTCTGTCTCAAATCGTATATGTTCAAACAGTTTGAGATTTCATAGATATATTATTTAAAAATTTTTGTTTTAACTTTTTGAAAATGGAGTAATAAATAATAAAATAGAAAGATAAAATATATAGAAGTTTGCATTCTAAATTTGCTAATACTGGACAAAAGTGTTTACAACTTTGATTGTCCTGGACACTGGATAGGCTTCTTAAAAGAGTGTCATGGTGTCTGTGGTTAAGAACTTAAGTTACACAGAAAATATGTTAGCGTTTATGCTTTTAACCAATGTGAAATTGCATTTTTTGAATCGGGTACTGTGACCCAAAGAATATCAAAGATTTAGAAGGGTCTCACAAGTAGGAAGTTATGTCCACATATATAAAACTTCAATTGATATTAAAGTTATTTTTTCCAGTGGTTTAATATCTTTTTACGTGTGTTGAGAACACAGTGGTGTTAAGCTCTCACTGCATGTAACCACTAAAACAACTCCGACCTTTCTAAATGATAGTCAGGCTACTGTTAAAGCTTTTTCAGCGATCTATATATAGTTCAAGTCAGGTCATAAGTCTGGATGTAGTATTGTTAACTCATTGACAGAAATTTTATGTCTATATCAGCTTCTGAATATCTCCGGAAATAAAAACATTTTCCTTGTGCAGCAAAAACTGTCTTTGCATAATTGAGTTCAAGACATAGCAACTTGCTAAACAGTTGCCTGTCACACATAATTATATACGTCCCCAATATGTGCATAAACGTCAGTTCTTCTCCTTATGATGTCTTTAATCTTTTTTATGCAAAAACTACACACATAAGTCCCATTAAGCCCCATTGGGTGATGGCTTCATTCATTTGATGTAACAAGATTTTTTCATCTCATCAAGGTTAAATTCAACATGCCTTATTTTATTTTACATTATATCACTGCCACCAGCCCACTCTAATGTGTAGTGTCTCTTTAACTTTAATTGATTGATATAAACCTAAGGAATATAGGTGTTACAATGCATAGAATCAGATTTGTGTAGTGTCTCTTTAAATTTAATTGATTGATATAAACCTAAGGGATATAGGTGTTGCAATGCATAGAATCAGATTTGTGTAGTGTCTCTTTAACCTTAATTGACTGATGTAAATCTAAAGAATATAGGTGTTACAATGCATAGAAGCAGAACGTTTTGGTGTTGATCTTATATATTCACAATGGAAAAGATAAATCTGCATGTTTTAATTTTGATATCAACATGTTTAATTGACTATTTGGTTATTTAGTGTTTAGTTTGTGTTCTTGGACTGTGAATACCACACTAACGTGACATGCATTTAATCCACTAGAAAGAAATCAATGTAATGTACAATATTTTTATTTATAAAATTTAAAACTATATTAGAACAATGTAACTTTTTCGATATGAAAATTTCATAGGAAAACACAAATGTTATTCTAAAAACTTTGAAAAACTTTTTGTATTTAAGCTACTTTTACTTTGATAACTACTTTAATGTTAAAATTTTCGGATAAGTTTTCGGTTTTTTGGTATCAGTTTCAAAACAAGCTCTGGTTTGTTGTTGTTAATAGTTTTAGAGGTTTTAATGTCATTTATACTTGGAACCATGATCTGATGTTACTTGGGTATGTATAAAAAACAATTTGGGCAAAATTTATTGAAAGAAAATTTCGACCAGTGTAGTTAGATTTATAGCATTTTTAATTTATATTTCTAGCAAATAAGTGATAAGTTATTTATGTAGCCTCAGTAGTTTTGAATTGGGGCATACTCTTTCGACGAAGTATTGTCCAAGTAAATACACTCTGGAATAGGAATAAAAAACAAATTTTTCAAATCAAATCTGCGTGGTTAATAAAATAGATTATTCTTTTAATATCCAAACCAACAAAAAATATCCTCTAGCGTTTTAGTTTGTAGGATTCTTTATATTATTATTATTATATTCATTCCAGTACGTTCCCAGGGGAATATTGGCCCATAACGAACTTTTCCAACTGTCACTATTTTTTGTTAGGGTTCTAATTTTTCGAAAGGTTTTTCCGCTTGCTTGGATTTCTTTCTCTAGTGTTCGCTTCCATGTTTGCTTGGACCGGGATTCTTTATAATAATCTAAATATTAACAACCTCTTTATCATTTATATATGTATTTTAAATTAAAACACGCTATCTTTGGTCATCAATTGATTTAATGAAATTTTTACAAATTTTTACAAATTTTTACATATAAGCAAAATATAAGTTATTAACTAATAATTATTAATAATTTATGTTTATATATTTTTAATTAATAATTATTAGTTAATAAATTATGCTTTCCTTATAAGAATTTACTATACTAGAATACACCAGATTGCTGTTGTCATAAATTCGATGTTGCAGAATATATAAATAATTTTTATAAGTAGTTTCAATTGCCGTGGTGTTATTTGCTATATATATTTGGTGCAGGAAGTTGTAGTTTACGCTACGCTCTTGGGCTCCTTATCCATTTGTTGCATTCAGCTGTTACCTATTTTTATGCTTTTATGAGATTTATACAATTTAAAATAAGCATAAACTCGATCATATCAAAT